AAAGTTCATAGCTCTAAGTGCTCACATGAAGAAACTAGAGAATACTCACACCAGAGAGTTGACATCACAGCTGAAAGCTCTAGAAAAAATGGAAGTAAATTCACCCTGGAGGAGTAGATGCAGGGAAATAATCAAACTGAGGGCAGAAATCAATAAAGTCAAAACAAAGAAAACAACTCAAAGAATCAATGTAACAAAGAGTTAGTTCTTCAAGAAAAATCAACAAGATAGACAAACTTTATCCAAACTAACCAAAAGGCAGAGAGAGAGCATGCAAATTTAAAAAGTCAGAAATGAAAAGGGGGACATAACAACGGACACTGAGGAAATCCAGAGAATCTTCAGGTCATACTTTGAAAACCTGTACTACACAAAATTTGAAAATTTAAAGGAAATGGACAATTTTCTGGACAGACATCACTTACCAAAATTGAATCAAGAACAGATAAGCAACTTAAACAGACCTATAACCTCTAAGGAAATAGAAGCAGTCATCAAAAGTCTCCTAACCAATAAAAGCCCAGGGCCAGATGGCTTCAGTGCAGAATTCTACCAGAAATTCAAAGACCTAATTCCAATACTCCTCAAATTGTTCCACACAATAGAAGCAGAAGGTTCGTTGCCAAACTCTTTTTATGAGGCTACAATAACCTTGATACCCAAGCCAAAAAATACCCAATAAAATACTGGCAAAATGAATCCAAGAACATATCAGAAAAAATATCCACCCTGATCAAGTAGGCTTCATCCCTGGGATGCAGGGTTGGTTCAACATACGAAAATCCATCAATGTAATCCACCATATAAACAGACTGAGGAAAAAAAGAAAACACATGATCATCTCAATAGATGCCAAAAAAAGCCTTTGACAAAATCCAACACCCCTTCATGATAAAGGTCTTGGAGAAATCTGGGATAACAGGAACATACCTCAACATCAGTAAGCCAACAGCCAACATCAAACTAAATGGAGAGAAACTCAAAGCTATTCCTCTAAAATCAGGAACAAGACAAGGCTGCCCACTCTCTCCATATCTTTTCAATATTGTCCTTGAAGTTCTAGCTAGAGCAATAAGAAAACAAAAGCAGATCAAGGGGATACAAATTGGAAAGGAAGAAGTCAAGCTTTCACTGTTTGCAGATGATATGATAGTCTACATAAGTGAACTGAAAAACTCTACCAGAGAACACCTACAGCTGATAAAAACCTTCAGCAAAGTGGCAGGATACAAGATTAACTCAAAAAATCAGTAGCCCTACTATATATGAATGAGAAATATGCTGAGAAAGAAATCAGAGAAACATCACCCTTTACAATTGCCACAAACAACATAAAATACCTTGGGGTAACACTAACCAAAAAAATGAAAGACCTGTATCATAAGAATTTTAAGTTTTTAAAGGAAGAAATTCAAGAAGATACCAGAAAATGGAAGGATCTCCCATGTTCTTGAATAGGTAGGATCAACATAGTAAAAATGGCAATCTTGCCAAAAGCAATCTAGAGATTGAATGCAATCCCCATCAAAAATCCCAGCACAATTCTTCACAGAACTCAAAAAAACAATTCTCAACTTTATATGGAAAAACAAAAGGCTCAGGATAGCCAAAACAACCCTGTACAATAAAAGAACTTCCAGAGTCATCACTGTCCCAGATTTCAAGCTCTATTATCTAGCTATAGTCCTGAAAACAGCTTGGTATTGGCACAAAAATAGACAGGTAGACCAATGGAATTGAGTTGAAAACCCTGATATTAACCCGCACACCTATGAATGCCTGATTTTTGACAAAGAAGCCAGAGCTATACAATGGAATAAAGAAATCATCTTCAACAAATGGATGCTGGCATGTAGAAGATTGCAGATAGATCCATGTCTATCAACATGCACAAAACTTAAGTCCAAATGGATCAAAGACCTCAACATAAACCCATTCTTATAAAAGAATGTCATGTCTTTGCAAGGCTTAGTTCTAGAAACTTATGGCTGAGAGTGAATGAAAAAAAAAAAAGGAACAGACATGCAAATGCACCTACAGAAAAGCTGGAGTCAGGTGGGTCCTGCTCACTCTGATGGACTGGCACCAACTGGACCACAACCAAGAACCTCAGCATGTTTATTATATACAGCACAGGACGGAAATTAGTTGGTCCAGTAAGACAGTGTCAGCGGGCTAGCAGTCTCAAGCTGTAAACATCCAGGTGGAGAAAAGCCTTGGCTTCCAGTGCTTGTATGACACTGTATACATTGTCATCATCTCTATTGAACCATAGAAAGGCTTTGCCACTATGCCATCCCTCTGAGCCTGACCCAGAAGGAAAGAAGGCTTTGTCAATTTCCCACAGGTCTGAGGCTTTGGTCCTCCACATGGTCATGCCCATGTCAACGATACACACTCACTCAGGGCTTCATCTGGTCTTTATACATTCACCAGAGGCTTCCTTCACTTCCCACAAAGAGTTTATTTTGCCTTACAGTTCCAGAAGCAGAGAGTCCAAAATAGCAGGCTGACAGAACAGGAAGCTGAGACATCAAATCTTCAACTGCACATAGAGAGAGTTGAAGTGGAAGTGCACTGAGACTCTAATCTCCTAAAGCCCTCGCCCACAATGTACTTCCTCCAGCAAGACTTCACTTTCGAAGAGTTACTTAACCTCCCCCAAACAGCACTACTGATTGGGGACCAAGGGATGAAATACCTGAGCCTATGGGGCACATTCTTCATGGAGACTACCAGAGTGATACACCCATAAATGATTGACCTTTCCCTTCTTGGGTTGACATTTGAAATCTTAAATCAATGTTATCTGGACCAGAAAAGTTTGAATATGTGGGAGGAAGAACCATTAGGGAAAGAAGCAAACTGTGTTCTCTTCCCATGTTTCCCAAGATATCCAGACTTAGGATTGGGCCAGTTAATGCAAGAAAATTACATCAAAGGCACCGTGTACATCCACAATGAAAGACTTAGGAAAGTGTGGACAATATGGAGATAAATTTTCTTTCACTCATATGCTTGTCAGAGTTCATGACTATAAGCAGTCAATAGGTTTGAATGGCAATGATGGCTGAAAAGATCAATAATGTACAAATCCGAGAGAGAATAATTTCTCTTGTCCTAGGTAAACATGTCAAGTCTGGGGCCAGTGATATGGCTCAGTGAGGAAAGCCATTTGTTGCCAAGACTGACTACCTCAGTTCAGTCATTGGTGCTCACACAGTAGGAGAGAACCAACTCCTGCAGGTTGACCTCTAACTTCCATCAACACATCTTGGAATGCTCGTGCCCACATTATACACACATGTGCAAAATAAATAAAAATGAAATTGTAAAAAGTTAAATGAAGTCTAAGAGAGAAAACACTAAATCATACATGCTGGTTAAAAATGTGAAACCCCGGGCTGGAGAGATGGCTCAGAGGTTAAGAGCGCCGACTGCTCTTCTAGAGGTCCGGAGTTCAATTCCCAGCAACCACATGGTGCCTCACAACCATCCGTTATGAGATCTGGTGCCCTCTTCTGGTGTACAGATATACATGGAAGCAGAATGTTGTATACATAATAAATAAATAAATAAAATAAAATAAAATGTGAAACCCCATATTTGGCTCACACACTTCTAAGGAGATGGGCTCTGACCACTTTTGTCATGATGCTGGAGATTCTTCGCTGTCTATAGCCAGGGGTGAATTTGCCTTTAGAACCAAGTCCCTAGCAAGATTCTACCTGATCATAATGCTGGCCTCTATTTAATTATACCAAGTACAAACACTTCCAAGGTTTGTACTTGGTATCCAGCAGGCTTCTGTCTTCTTGAAACTCTGGTTCTCTGCTCCATCTGCTGGCGGAAAAATTACCTCCATGGGGAGATAGATTCACTTGAACTTGTCAAAGGGAAGTCCCACCACTGCAAATTCATTTGTGGACTGGAAGGGTCTGGGGATGTAGCTCAGGGGCAGAACCTTACCTGGCAGGTATAATACCAGCTCTGCCAAAAAGAAAATCCATTCGTGAAGGTGAATTTGCTTTTTTGGATTTCTTACAATAGTTGCTCCACTGAGCTAAGGAAGGTATCAGAATCTATTTGCCTTTGGAGCACTAAGTGGAATTCATCTTAGAGAAACATCTAAATTTGACACAACTGCTTCTAATACTTTTTTGAACAGGGAAAGAAATAGAAAATTAAGCTATTAATGTTCTTCTCAACATTTCTGAACTTTAAGTCCTTTACATGTTCCTGAAGGGTCTGGTGTTTTATTAAAGCCATGCTAAATATTAAAGAGTCAATTACTTTTAAACTAATAGTGTGCGCTGTAAAAAATCTCATCGGCATATAAAGTCCAAACTGGCAGCAGTGTGTGGAATAGAAGTAGTTTGGAGACAGATTTCAGCAGAACATGAGAAAACAAACATCCTGCTTCTGTGTCTATAGGTCTTCCAGATATGGCTCCAAAGAACTGCAGATCAAAAAAAGTCCCTCTTTAAATGGTCTGTACTAAATGCAGATAGACTTTCCCCCTTGTCATTATTCTCTAATGTTATCCAAAGTCTTTTACAGCATTTTTTGAAGTCTGTGGGATATGATTAGCAATTTAGAGACTATTTAAGTCATACAGGAAGATTATGAAGGTCATATGCTCTCAAGTAACATACAGGGCTTGAATGTCTATGGATTTAATGTCCTGAAATCAACCCCAGGATGACTATTCTAAAAGTAGACTCATCAGCAGAGCAGTAACAGGCTGGCTCAGAACATTCTGAGATTCTCTAATGTTTCCCTCAAATAAGCCATAGCACTGGAACTTCCGCAAAGAGAAATACTGAAACCAGGGGTGGGGGGTTCTGGAATTTTTGTAAGTGACAATAGGAAGGTTGGGTCCATCTGAGGTAGACATTTCATTTGTAACAATGAAAAGTGTCAGCGAGTTGTATGAAGAAATAAATATGAAATTATTTGGTGCATTTGACTCTTCCATTTCACTATTTCTTTCTCTGCAGCCAGTGCTGACTTCCCATATAACCCAGGACAAGGCCAGGCTATCAGAAATGGAGTCAACAGAAACTCGGCCATCATCGGAGGTATGTGACGCAGATATCTCTAGCAGCTACTCACCTGAGAAAAACAATGACTAATTTTGAAAATGGGGCTGGAGAGACGGTTAGGCAGTTAAGAGTAAATAAATACTACTTTTCCAGATGGACCCAAGTTCAGTTCCCAGAACTCACATAAGGCTGCTCACAACTGCCTGTAACTCCAGCTCCAGGGAATCCTCCACACACATGTGCACATACTCACACACAAGCACATACATAAATAAAATACATCAAAGTGTATTCAAAAGGGCAGTTAAGTGAAATTATCCCAAACTCAAGTATAATCTCATTAACGTCCCTGTCCTTATTGGTTTTGGCTTTTGGAGTTTTTGGCTGTGTGTGTGTGTGTGTGTGTGTGTGTGTGTGTGTGTGTGTTTAAATAAGCTCAAAGTATCGTATGAGCCTGTACGTGAAACAGGTTGGTGGCTTTTTGACAGGTTCATACACCCATATCCACCGCCGCAGGATAGATAGCACGTCGTCCTAAAAACACCTCCTCTCAGCTACTTTTGTAATCCATTTGCTACTCGAGGGTTTCATTAACTGACATAAAGTTTTCCGCACTTTCATCCATGGGGCGTAATGTTTCTTTTTATATCTGTGCGCACTCTTTTGCTTATCAGTAGCATTTATTCCTCTTGCCAAGTTGCATTTCATCACATGGATTTACCATACTTTGTTTCATCCGCTCACCCGTTGCGGGTTGTTGTCTCCAGATTCGGGTTATTATGTGTAAAGCTGCACACATCTTAATATTCCTGCTCACATCTTAGGTAGACTTGAGTATCCGTTTCTCTTTGATGATTCCTAGATACTCAATCACTAAGATAGCAAAGAAAGGGGATATTTAACTTTGTAAGTCATTGGCACGCAGCTTTCCAAAAGTGATGCCACCACCTCACAGTCCCATGACCAATCTCTAAAAGGCCTGTTGTTCCCCATCTTGGTGCTGTCAGTCGCTCTGGGAGGTGAGCCGTGGCATCACTGTGCTTCCTGATGTGTGATTATCTCATCACCAGTGGTGCTGAGTGTCTTTTCAGTGTTCAAGCCTCACGTCAATATTTTTGTAAGGTGTCTTCTTCATCTCCCTAATCGACCCTTTGGTTTCTTGCTATTGATTTGAAAGAGTTTGTTTTCCGGATACAAGACCTTTGTCAAACACAGGTAAATAGATATTTTTTCCCAATCCACAGCTTGTTAACAAACCTGATTCCATGTTGTGTGGGTCTTGTACATTCTTACTGATTTTCTGTTTAATGGTTTCGTCAATTACAAAGCAGAAGAGGGCCAAAGTCTCCGGCTGTGGCTATGGATTGGTCTAACTCTTCCTCTGGTTCTGTCAATTTCCTTTGCTGTTTTGTGGTTCTATCAGACAGGCACACATTTGAAGTCCTCGCATCTTAAATTGAGTGTTTTGCCATCATGCATTTTTCCTTATTCCTTCTGGTACTCAGACCTTTTGCCTCCCTTGTCAGGCTTGGTTGTTAGCAATTGTTTTGCACAGGTCCTTTGTTCTCACTCTGTTACCTCTGCCTGCTAGTCGATTGATTTTTCTCCTTGTGGGAGAAAAACTTTTTTTCCTTTGCATGTTTGGTCATTTTTATATTGGCCGCTAAACATTATTAACATGACTGAGTTTGGGAGTTTGTCTTCTTATATTGAGTGCCGAGGTCACTTACAGTTCTTACAACTTGATACCTTTTAGTCGTGCTAAGTTTTGCAGGGCAAATCTTGACTGACCCTTTACTTCCTTAAAAGCACACCTTTAGCACGACCCTTTACAGTCTGGACTGAATGCCTGCAGTTATTTCCCTTTAGAGTGTGGCCATTGCCCAGCCCTGTGTGAGCCCGGGATGTTCTTTATTGTGCCTCCTGGCTGTGTGGAAGCTCATGCACGCGCACACATGCACGTATTAGTATTCAGCTGGAGGTTCCACAATGTCACAGATGAGCAGATCTGTCTGTGTAGAGCACATGTGCTGTCCCTGAAGCCCTGCCCCCAGTTCCAGATGCTCACTGGGTTCTCCGGGTTCTCTCTGTAGAGCAGTGTGGACAGTCAGAAAGCTGGGCAAAGTGTGGAAATTTGTCATTTCTGACCTTTTCCTCGGGCGTCACGTGTCTGATCTACCTGTTGTCTACTGTCTGAGAGCCTTTGCTTCATATGTTTTATGTGGTATTTTAGTTACTTTGGGCAAGAGGACAAGTGGCCTTCTGGTTCCTGTTAACCCCTTTGTGCCTGGAAGCAGTGTCATTTCTTCTGTCCTCATGACTGTCATTGTTTTCTGTGAGAAAGAGTCACACTTAAGGGAGCTGGGCTGCAGTGGTGAGAAGACGCAGAATTGCACAAGGCTTGTTTAACTTTTGGTACTTATCTCCCCAGGGGTTATCGCCGTGGTGATTTTCACCATCCTCTGCACCCTGGTATTCCTCATCCGATACATGTTCCGTCACAAGGGCACCTACCACACCAACGAGGCCAAGGGAGCTGAGTCAGCTGAGAGCGCAGATGCTGCCATCATGAACAACGACCCCAACTTCACAGAGACCATTGACGAGAGCAAAAAGGAGTGGCTCATTTGAGGGGTGGCTTTTTAGCCATGGGATGGGGAGGGGGAGTTAGGGAGGAGGGAGAGGGGACAAGAACACCCTGTGTCATCCACCTGAGCACACGGTTACAGTGTCAGCACAAGCTGCGGAAGGCGAGCAACCCGAAATTCTTAAGAACTGATGGCCACATAAAAATATATACTTTTTAATATTTCTTTATAGCTGAGTTCCCCCCCTTCTGTATCAAAACAAAACAATACAAAAATGCTTTTAGAGTTTAAGCAACGGTTGGAATTTGTAGGTAATATCTGTCTTATTTTGTGTGTGTTTAGAGGTGTTCTAAAAAACCCGTGGTAACAGGGCAAGTTTTCTACATTTTTAAGAGCCCTTAGAATGTGGATATTTTTTCTCAAGAAAAACTGATACACATCCATACAGCTTATGACATTCTTTTCCTTTTGCATCTAGTCAACTTTTAATGGGCTGTTGTAGCAGCCAGTTTGTATCCAGATAATATTTCTTTTGGTGTCCCATAAAATGGAAATGGAAACAAAAAAGGGGGGCAAACAGTCTATTTGCCAGTCTTCAAAGACACCTCAATCTAGGCCAGTTTTCCGAAGGTTCCTGTCAGTCATCTGCCAGTGAAGGAAAGGTGAGCAGTCCTGTCCTGCAAACCACAAGAGGCGACAAGCACCCAAGAATCCAGCAAAGAAAGGCGTAGTGGGTTTATTGCTTCTGTTTTCCATTGACTTCTACATAATGATGTCCCATGGATGTAGTCTTAGATCTATTTAATATCTGTAACTATCAGCTATAAAACCATGGTGAGCAACTGTTATAGGACTTCTCTGTTTTAACTTTAACATATCAGATTGTATGTGTATATGCACCTCAGTGGGGAATTAGAGCCAGAGGGAATGTCTTCTTTGCTCTGTTTCTTTTATATTTATGACAAAAAATATGGACACTTTCTAGTGAATGCATAACTTAGTGTGCTTTTTTTTTTTTTTTCATTTTGCTCTAAACTTCAAGTTTCTACACCGCTGTGATAAAATCCTAGCAGATAACGCACTCTCTGGACTGCACAATACAATAAAGCCAAGTTACAACAGCTTTTACTCTGGAATCATGTGAAAAACACTGCCATATTTTAAACCAGCTCAGTCTCAGAACAGTACCAGGATACAGACGTCTGTGACAGATGCCACATCAGAGTCTGAGTCGCCACCAACCTGACCGTCAGTTACAACTGTCTAGTGAATTACATGTCTTAGGGCTATCGGGAATCTTGGGCAATCTGCTCCAAAAATAACTGCTTGATTTTAATGTTAAACAATAGATTTTGTGTAAGTAACTGGGAGCAATTCTTTCTATTGGAACACCAAAAAGAATTTAATTGATTAATTTTTTTAATTACACAAAAATTCTTTCTGAATAGTTACCTTTATAATTGTAATATGTCGGGCCTCTTATACTTAAAAAACCTCTTTTTAAAAGTTTTGTAGGCTCCAACATTTTGAGGAATTAAACATGATGATTCTTTCTGCTCTCAGAAAGACCTGGAGCTCAAAGTGGTATAAAGCTGCTTTTCTGATGATCTGGCTCAGTGAGCTACATGTTCTAGTTAGCTGGGATTTCATACACACACTTTCAAGGTTCTCCAAATACTTAAATTATTGGAGGATCTCAATTCCTTGAGTGATGGTAAACTTTATCTCAAGCTGCTTATTGCTCCAGATTATAATGCACTCCAAAAGGAGGTAAGGAATGGGTACATTTCCCCTCAAATCAAGGAAACAGAACAAAAGGGAATCCTGAGACCTCTTTTAATTACAGGCTGACCTCAAACAGGCCCATGAACACCCTTAAGTTTTCAAGTCTTGCTCATTCCTTTGTAAAATATTAAATGGAAAAACATTTAATAGTACAAAATGCCAGAACAATGTTAACATTTCCATTTGAGAGCCAAGGTCATTTTATTTCAGAGATCCCTGACCATGAAGCATTCTTTTTCATATTTTCACAAAAGGCCAATGTTTACCATTATGGCTTAGAAGTGTTTCTGATTTTTTTTTTCAGCTTCTTTCACAGGTATTACTTTTGTACTTAACAAATAACGCCAAATGGAAATTTATTCTTTCTGGCATTTCCCAAGATAGCCATGTTCCTTATGCATTATCTCAGCACTTTTCTTCCTCAAATGATTAGCAAGCAGAACCATCAGGACAGTCCCCAGTATTAGAGTCTCCTCATCCAGCCCTCTCTTTACTCTTTCCTTCCCTTGCTCTTGCCACAAAAGGCAAACACTAAGATCCAACCGGTCTCACATATCAGCAAAGCTGGGGTGTTGAGTGTCACCATCCGTTTTTAAGACACATGGAGATAGCTGACACCGTCTCTCCTAAAGCAGTTACAGTATGGGCGGGAGACAGAACACTCAGCGGTGGGTGAAGTAGTCAGTAACTAAATGAGTTGCTAAGTGAGCCCTGAAGCCCTGACCTCTTCTTGGAATTACACCCTTAACCAAAATCCCCACATCTGCATATGGCAGACATAGCCAGTGTGTTCTGAATGGTAAATAATGGCTCATTTGAGGAAAAAGAAGTAATTCTCTGCTCCAGTTCTTTCCCTTGATGGTTTGGCATGATGCTGCTTCAACAATCATGATATGACCCAAACTTGCCTAACCTTAGACTCTTTCATCCCCACTACCATCTCAACATTGTACATCCAATACACCGTCAGCCAAGCACAGACTAACGGAAGCTCATTTAAGCAATAAGACTATATAAGCCAAACAAAACCCGAGACACTGTGCCAAAGGAATAAGACACACTGGTGCATGACTGTAATCCCAGCATTTGAGAGACTGGGGCAGGAGGATAATGAGTTCAAACTCAGCCTGAGATACAAAGCAAGTTCTGGCTAGCCTGAGCTACCTAGTGAAAACATTCTCCCAAAAAAAAGTTTTAAGTACATAAATGAAGCTTCAGAAAACACTGGTAGCTGTCTAAGGCTTGTACATGCATGAACCTCCTCTGTATCTAAAATAAATATCTGTGTTTTCTTTTTCAAGAAGCTAAGAAAGAAAGACACTGAATGAATGCAAAATCAGTGTCGTTCTCTACTCCCAAAGTAGCATATTCTCTGGAGCTCATAGATGCTAATTCAGGACATCAAAATTATTTCATGGTTGAATTTTCCCTGGGCCTTCTTAAAATGTATGAATGTATTTCCTCATTGCCGTCTACTAACAGTTAAAAAAAATAGGAATGTTAGTGAATTTTTTATTGAAGATCTGAGAACAAGCGTATAGAGGACTGTTGTTAGAAATTTCCCTACTGATCTGTATTGGAAGGGAAAGCATCCCTCCCCAAAGAAGCGGGAATTCAAAAGCGTCAGCGGCGGTGCCAGCATGACCAGTGATAGATCTTAACCCTGCTGCTGCACACCTTAGAAGAGCACCAGGAGACTCCCGTTAGCCAGGCACAGACAAAAGCCTGGTACAGCATAAAGCACTGCAGGGAGAAGCTTGACCACACCATGGTTCAGGAAGTGTCAGAAGACACACTTGGTATTGTTCTCTCCTCTCCTGGCTGTACCTTCTCTTCAACAGGAAATGTTAATAGTCCCTTTACATCTCATGCTTCTAAACAATGCATGATTTGAACTCTTAATTTTTCCCCTTTTGCTATGCTGTTAAACAGTTAAAAAAAAAAATGGGAAGGCAACATTTACTAAGCTGAGTTTGACTTATCCAACCAATAATAGCTTCTGAAGTGCTCTTCCTGGCAAGTCACCTGACCCTGAATTGAGGAAAGGCCATCATGCATCTCACTAATTTTTAGCTAAAAAGCAAAGAGCATCTTTTTTAGAAGATATTTTAGTGAACATGACTCCTGAGTCCGGCTGATAGATCTCAACATATATACAGGCATAACAACACACAAGTCCAGCACTTATAGCCAAGAAATCAAGAATTTAAGGCCAGACTCAGCTCCATAATGAGTTCAAAGCTACCATGGTCAACATGAGACTCTGTATCAAAAGAACAAGCAAAAAGAATCTCAGGCCAACAAGACAACTCTGCAGGTAAAAGTACTTGCCATGCAAAACTGGCAATCTAAATTCAATCAATGGATCCTACAGTAGAAGGAAAGAACTGATTCCCAAGAGTTATCCTCTGACTCTTACACCTGCACACACTCATATGGACATGCATACACACACACACACACACACACACACACACACACACACACACACCATAAATAAAAATTAGCAAGAATCTCCACCCTTTCTTCCTAGACTTGCCATGTAATCCTTGCCATGTCCTTGAACTTCTGCCCATCCTTCTCCAAGTGTTTGAAAGGGGGGATGCTTTACCCACTTCGAAAGACAACTATGAGCATGATGGATTCTTGACTGTGCAACACTTTGAAGCCCAAATATAAATTCCAAGGTCAAAGGAATGCCGGTAAAAGAGTGACTTGGCTTGTGGTTGTAAGCTGCATTTAAAAAGTACTATGCAAACAATGTAGCCATGTGCACACATAGAGACTTAGGGGTCATTGCTGAGCCACTGCTGAATTATGACTCAAAAACCTCCAGCAGTTAGGCTGCCAACATAGGGAAGTGGAACCCAGTGGAAACCTTGAGAAACTGTAAATGTTATTGTAAATCCTTAAATCCCCACCTGGCCATGACCTGTGGCTCATAGTATACATACAGTCTCAGACAGCCAGTAAATGTAATTGGATTGTATTATAAATCACACACACACACACACACACACACACACACACTATTTTGTAGATGCCCTGCACACTACACTACAGTCACCCTGCACAGCAATATCTATCAGAAACTTTAAAGAGCGTTTCTTTCACTACAGGTATTATTTTCTCTCATTTAGAGTGGTCTGTAAAATCACGGTCAGTTAAACAGAGAAATGATGTCCAAACGTTGAATGAAGAATGAAGGAAGGTAATAAAGATAAAAATGGGCACCCGTGTGTTCGCATGCAACAGCCA